ATCATTGTTGTTTGGCGGGCCCGGGCTGGGGATTCGAACCCGCCACCTTAGGTGTATGTGGCTGGCGCCTTAGCCGCTTGAGCCACAGGCGCCGAGCCCCCTGGGCAATTTTAAACCTCCTCCTGCATATGTAAAATGTTGGGGAAAAATGCCATCTAAAGTATTGTGTTAACTATAAAACGCTATTATCACTGTAAAATATCACTATTTTTTGAAAAATAGTATAGAAAATCCAATTATCATGAACACAAGACCATTCAGAAAACTCCCATTTGTGTGCTTTATATGCCTGTGTATGTCTATAATCATGTGCCTCTGTCATCAGTGTCCCTATCTGTGTCTGTTGCTGAGGCAACAGTAAAAAGAATACATCAAATGTCAAAGCTCCTAACACACTTCTTCCCACTTAACAATTATTTTTTGAAAATGGAGACAATTCCATTCACTGGACTTTTCCAATGAAGCAACCTCTCACAGGCTTTCCAAGTCGAGGGCCAATGCTCACTGAAAGCCCAGTTCTAATTAAGGGCAAAAATAAACAAAACAGTAACAAAAATGCAGCAGCAAATCAGAGATACTAGCAGCAGATACTATGTTCTATAAATCTCCTACTCCCCTTCATACTGCCTCTTCCTGTCAGCAACCATCTAGCTTTAATCTTTGTCTGACTTACACGTTTTTTCCTGTATATAGGTTTTCTTGTATATAGGTTTTTCCCCCTATGGTTGTGTAGTCATGTTCTACCTGATGTGAAAAACAGAAATGAAACTTCCTCCAGGCCTTTAGAAGACTGAAAAATGATGAAGTTTGGGGTTCAACTGGCCTGCATTTGAACCCACCACCATATGACCATGAAAAAGCTACCGAACTCCTCTAGAACCTATTATCCAATATAGCAGCTGCTAGCCAGGTGTGGCTATTTAAACTTAAATTTCATAGAATTAAGTAAAATTGAATAAAATTAAAAACTCAGTTTTACAGTCACATTAGTCACACATCTAGTGCTCATCAGCCACACATGGCTAGTGATTACTTCATTGGACACTGTATTATTAAGCATTTCCTTTACTGTGAAAAGTTCTACAGGGTTCTGCTCTATAGCCTCATTCTCCACATGGGTAAAAATTAAAGAGTTGCGAATATTAAATGAAGCAATGTATATAAAGTTCTTGGCACAGTGCCTGGCACAGAGCTTATGCTCAATTTATGGCAGCACTCTACTTCCTCCAGATGGAACACCCTCACCCCAATCTCTGTCTCTAAATCTGTCTCTCAGGCTTAACTTTAGCTCTTTCCTGAAGCCTTTC